AAAGTGGACATAACACCAGCAATTGAATTTGATTTAATTGTCGATATAATTAATGAAAATGACACGTTCCGTGCAGCTTTTTTCAACAAAACTATCGAGCATGGTAAGTTTATGCTTCTATGAAGCCACGACCATGCACCATCGTGTTCACTTTTTTTCCGACTGACCTTTACAGAGACAGAAGTAGAGCTTGTTATGCTACACACCACAAAGACTGTTATGAACTATTAATAAGCCGGGGAGATACATTCTTTTCCAAATGTTTTGAAAATAATTGCACTGAAGCATGGTTATCACTGTAAAGAAACAGCTAATATTGCAGTCTGTTTCAAACAGCTTGTTGCAGTATGTCTTCACTATTTATTCAATAGGACAACAGAGGAGAAAATTGAAGTGAGTTGTTTGGTCCGCCTTTTATTACGCGGTGAAAAATTCAAATTGCATATTCCTAGTATTTTTATCAAAGATCATAACATAATGGATAGCAAGGATCTTCCGATTCAATGTGAACCTTTTCTACTCGGAATCGAGAGAATGCTCCTGTCGGTCGAAGAAATCTGTTGCGCTGAACATCCAAATGTTGACGACATCATTATTGTAAACAGTCACGTGACTACTGCTGTGTCTTATGTAAAGTCCTCACCATTCATAAACAAACACTTAGAATTCGAAAAATGTATTTCCATATTTCAGAAATATTTCAAGGAAAATTTGATAGAATGATTAGATTTAATTGAAATTCTCAAATTCCATGTTGTGAGAGAATCATTGTTTAGCTTCTTTAATATTATGTACGTTAATAAATGATAATTATACATAGCTTTTACTTCTTTATACGCCCGAAACACTTGTTTTGGCGTATAATGTTATGCACGTGGTCGTCCGTCCGCTCGTCGTTAGCAAGTTTCGTGTCCGGCCTGTATAAATTTTAACCAGTGGAAGGAAATTATAATTTCTTGCCCAACATATTAACCGAATTAGAACGAAATACAGAACGCAAGTTTAACTTTCCTCAGGTCAAGGTCACGCTAAGTCAGTTTGCCTCAATCTCAAAATTCCGTGCCATACTGTATCTTTTGTATCGGTGGAAGGAAATTAAAACTACATGGCAAAAGTGTTAATCATAATGAAACAATGTGCAGGGTGCATTATTGACATTTATTAGGTCAAGGTCACACAGTCATTTTATATCAGTTTCAAAAGTTTGTTTCCGCTCTGTATCTTTTGAACCGATGGAAGAAAATTAAACTATTTGGCAGAAATGTTACTTAATAGTCTATAATGGACTATATATACCAAAGTAGAAAACACATTAGATATGAAGATTTTCATATAATCACAAGCTAGTCATCAGTTTTAATGGACTAATGACTATGATGTAAAGATGAAAAAAATTAGCAAAAATACAATACATCTTCTACTTCTAATATTGTAAGTGTAATCATTGATAAGCTTTTAGATTTGCATTTGTAGCTTTGATATCAATTTTTCAATTAGAGTATGATTTATACCTCTATTATAATTTGTTCATGTTAATTTCCAAAGACTTTCTCTAAAAAATCAGTGTGATATATTTGCAAAGCAGTGCACTATTTATTGTGAAAAAATAAAAGTTATCAAATTTATGAACCTTTTATTCGATTCTACTATTTGACATTTATTTATAGCAATATTTGACCATTATGGTTTGTCTGCAAAATTTGTGTTTACTTAAATTCTCTAACAGCAATGGCTAGGTTGTTTGAATAACAAGCATTGTTTATAATAAAAAAGTGTGCATGTCATTTGAATTTTGTCTGTACATGAATCGAGACAGACACTATCCGAAAAGTTTTTGACAGCTTTTCACAGGGTTGAACAATGACTGTATTTAATTTATGTGCACGGACAACAGTTAACAACATTGATTTTTTGCAACATTGACAATTTTTAAACAGTTCCAGTTGCGTTATATTAATTATCAGTCATATAATTGTATTGTGTCAAGTACAAACCCGAAGTATTACATAGTTTGTACAGATGATTCCCTTTGGTAAAATGTCCACAGGTTCAAAACATAATAAAACAGGTAATGTTAAACACCTCTGACACTAATATATTTCAAGAAATGCAGAATTGCAAGTTTACCTCAATTGTGTAATTAAGAGACAGACTTGGGCATCAAGGGCTACCAAGCTAGTGTTTTGCTACAGAATATTCAACAAAGATGAATTGCATTGATTGTGTTTACTTTGGTATTTACTACCTGCCACGTACAATTCAAACCATGGCTTTTCTAAGAGCAGTGAAAAGCTTGTGGTGGAAGTAATAGTACACATCTTGCCTGGGAAACAAATGAGGTTTTCTTTGAGATATTTTTTAAGATTTTCAAATAATGGTTTTAGAACATGTCACATGCTTATAACCTGATGAAAGAAGTGCAGTAAATAAATTATTTGTTATAAAAGTAAAAACAAAAATAAACAATGTAGAATTTTGACTTCCATACAAAATACTTAATCAAAATAACTTTACTTACTGCTAAAAAGTAACAGAAGAAAACGATGGTTCATGTAATTTGCAAATTAGTTACTTTTTGAAAACTTTATCTGGACACAAAATTCAAAAGCTTTTAAAAAGATAAAAATGAAAGCATTTCTGAGGCATTATATGCCATTAAAAAATCCCTTGAATCAATTAAAACTGATAATTTATAACATGTTAATAGATAACATTACGTTTACAATTAAAGTGATCATGGTGATGGCATGACTTTGCACAAATAAAAATCAATCAAGATAGAAACATTTCAATGCCAAACATGTATTGTTTTACAAGTCTAATTCAAATTCATCTCAACTGTTTTGAATCAGTCTGATGCCTGGTTGACATTGTTTTGGACAGTCATTTGCAGAAGATTAAATATCTATGATTATAAGTTAATACAAATTTACAAATGACAGGTTATTTATTTCAAACAAAAACAGATATTTTGATTAACATTTTCAAAATCCATAAGACTGTTTACATAAGCCATGGAGAGTTAAGAAGCCTAAATTCAGTCAATGGATTGCCATGACTCTACCATTGTCTTGTCCAGACTGTGTATGGACATTTTATTTGGTATCACTAGTTGGTTTCTTATCTGATGGTGCTCCCTCGAAACTAAGTCAAGAGCCACGAGAAGTACTCAAGTTTTAACCATGAAATCATATAAGCAGTAATAATTAATCAGTTACAGTTTCAATCAGTTTCATTTCTAAATTCAGTAGTGTCATGCATAGAAAATAATATTGAAATGGAGGAAACACTTCTGGATGTCATAGTTTAATTTATATCGATTTGCTTTAACTACTGATCAATTCTTGTCCTGCTTGGGCCAGTTAAAGGACTTCTATTGACATGCAGGATTTGTTTTCTCTTAAAGTCTTTTTTCCGCTATTCTGTATTTTATAGATTAAGTAGAAAGATTTAACATTCTCGCAAAAAAAACTTATCGCACCATTTTACTTTGAATTTGTCACATGCTTAAAGTGACATTATGCCCATCCAAAGGTATAAATGAGTGAAAAAGTGAATGTCAAAATAAGTTTTCATTTTGCCATAATTCCTTTCAATATAAAAATTTACCTGGTATTTCACATTAACAATTATAAACAATGCATGGATTCAAATCGAATTTTCGTCAATATCGTTCATGAAAAGAGTGGTGCAATCTTTTTATATTTTATGCAGATTTAAATTTTATCCTAAACATTTTCAATATGAACTGTTGGTCAATCACCATTTTAACAGTCACTCTTTTGAAATATATAGTCAGTTCAGCTCAATTTGACTATGAAAATATGAGCATAATGTCACTTTAACTTTAATCTTCGTGCAAATCAAAAATTTTCGCATGTTTCTTTCGAGAACTGTAGCTTATTTACAGTACCAGTGACTGTATATAGTGAAAGATTTTCGAAAGAGAATGTTAAATCTCGCTACTTATCTATAAACAAGAGCCAGTGCGCTCGAATAAAGAGATTTAGTCACTCTTAAATTTAACAAGCGATTTTAGTAACACCTTAGTAACCGATGGAAAGATGTAGCGAACTTGATAAATTATGAAATTGGATGGCCATTTGAAGGATCAAAGTTACTTTTTAGCATTGACGAAACTTACAGTTATTCATTAGAAGATGCTTAAACTCTATCTTTTTGTATATCGTCTGACATTCTATAAAAAGCAACATCATGAACATGACATTAACTGCCCGCCATCCACAAAATATCAACAGAACATTGCGATAAGCTAAGCATGTGAATAAGGAAATTTACCAAATTTGGGGCGCAAGACGTTATCCATATAACATTGACACAAAACTATTCAGGGACGATTTCAATGTTGAATGACATAATTGATATATCCGATGACAGCCATTAATCATTGTTTATCATGAGTGAAAGTGAATTCTGTCCGATATGAGTGCACGAAAATTCCGTGAGAATACAATTTACCTACACTAATTACACTGATTACAATGCCCAAAGCTTAAAGGCCATGCAAATATTTTCTATTTTATATTTTCAACTTGAACAAGCATTCAATTTCAATAAGATCTATTTATCATTAAATGTGTTCACTAATTTATCTGCTCTTTACACTTAAGCGTTGTATAAGTCAGATACAGTTACTTCAAAAGTGTCTTGGCTTTGCCTCGGACAATTTGTTGTTTATCCTAGCAAACTGTCTTTTTACGTCTGTAAGAAGACACTTTTGAAGAAAAACTCGTACTGTATCTATTACATATTATTGAAAATCGTCAATAAGTTAAAACACATCAATGTATGTGCAATCTTTTAGATTAGAGTGACATTTTTAAAGACATCGTCCCAGTCCGGGAACATCATGAATGGTCCTCGTATATACAGTATTCAAATATTTGAACAATTTTTCGTTTCTATCTTTAAGATGTTATTCAAATACATGTAATTGACATATCATGATAAGATATTTGTGTTGTTAACGTGATGATTTAAATGTTGTTCTTTTTAAAATTATTTTACATTTTAACTTGTGTTTATAGGACTAGTAACATAATAGCAACATTTTATCAAGTAGTAATGAATTAATATCCAAACGCAAATAATACCATATCGGTTACATCTATTATCAAAGCAACTGGATAAAAATTCAACTGTAATTCAATGTACTGGATATATCATATGATAACTCATGTACGTACTAAAAATGATTTTCACCTGTTTCATTTTATTACAAATAAGATATATTAATCAAAACTAAGACGTACCATAAGATTCGGAATCAATATTATCTTTAAATTAACTTGAAAATCTATGATTCCCTAACCTAGCAAAGAAAATGCTGACAATCGGTTTGAAAACTAACTTGTATTGTACCCTTAGTTAGATTTTGCAACCTAAAGTTGCCAAAATGAGTTTGAAAAATTTTATATTTAAAAATAGTTTTGAAACTAACAGTACCCTCAAATAGACTTTGAAACTTTTAAAACCCTAATATAACTTGGGAAACTTTTTGATCGAAAACGTCGCTTTAAAAAACAGTGTTATTTTACTATTGTATTTATTAAAACTGATCGTTATTATTCAGAACGGTATTTTTAAAGTACGTCCTGCGTTTTATTTATAGTTTTCATCTAAAATGCTTAAATGAACTCGACTTAAAGCCTTGACTTTACCTGTTCAGGTGATATTATTGAATTTTGCTTAAATTGACTTAATTTTGTTATTTATGTACGGATTTGATTTATACATGGACAAAACAAGACTTGCTACCGAACAAACATATCAAATAATTTTGATGTTATCTTGACCTAAATTGACCTTGACTGTAAAATTAAATACGTGAATTTCTCATTTTTTTCTGTAATTGGCTATAACTTTATTATTTATAAATGAATTTAACACATCTTCTTTTAGGTCAGAACCGTTATGTATATCAAAATCAAATTGACGTTCACTTATGTATTACATTAATCTTGAAGGTCAAATTATTCAGTTTTCACTAATTATCGGTATAATAGGCTGTAACATAATTGATAATGGTTTATTTTCATACTTGGACAAAACAACCTGTTTACACAGAACCTTTTAAATGACATTGACATTGAGCTTTAAATGACCTTGACCGTCAACTTCAATGCATTGAATTTTGGTTAAGTTGTCATAATTTTCTTATTAATGTACGAGCTTGATTTTATCCGTGGGCAAAAAAAAACACTTTTGACAAAACAGTCATGTTGAATTATTTAACTATGACCATGACCTTTAAGGTAGAACTCGACACATTGCGAACTTTCGAGTGACGTCTTGAAAATCGGCATGTAAAACGTTAACTATATTTCAGATTAGATTCCGTTAACTTTATTCCAATATTGTCAGCCAATTTTTGTACTCACAACGTCAAAATTCACCACTAAAGCCCGTTTTTGAACATGACGTCGCTGCGTATCCTTGACAACTATAACGGGTATCAAAACGCTATAGGCGGACAAAATATCTTAACTTCTAAAGCATTCAAGGGATTTTAGTTAAGCCACATTTTTGGATTTAAAGCGGCTTAGTTAAACGTTTCTGAAATATTTTTTTCTTTAAGCGCCCTTTAAAATGTATATTTATTCTATGCTTAAAAATAAGAAGAAAGTTTGTTAGTTTGTTTTTTGTAATTTCTTTTCTCAGCAAACATAAACGTCACAAACAGAAAGGTGATAATTAATTCAATAAAATTCAATTTCGACCAAGCCCATGATAGTTAACTACACAATTGTAGTAACATATCTAGCAAGTGTAATGCACAGCCGCTATCCTTGTATTCGTTATATATATATATTCTTTATTTGAGTCTCATCCATACATAACAACATAAACCAATTCAATGACATAATTATACAAAGTAAAAGTTATTTATGTACGGCCATTCTTATCGGAATTACAAGAGACTATGAAATTTTAATCTAATGGAAGGGAGGCAACTCTGCAAGAATGTCCAATGTCACTTACAGAGTTACCTCTCTTCTCATTCCATATTCATATGCATATTACAATTTAAAATTGCTAAAATAAGAAACTATTGCTAATCTTGTTCTTGTTGAAATGTACCTGTATCATGATTTTACTAGTCTGAGTTCCAGTCTTTGCTTCTATCGGCTAATCGACTATATATCTATCAGAAACTGTGATGTGCTCTTACGAAATAGCACGTATGATATGAATAACCGAAGTATCAACGCCTGAAGCCCAAACTAATATTTTAGATATATGTTGTTTTTTTTCATCTTAAGGTCTCATTACAAATTTCAAGCATTTGACATGTAACAGTTCATTGATGTGGTTTTTTATATGTTTAGTTAGGACAATGTTCCTGATAAGCTAAACATTTTTGCCGCACTTTGAAGTCTCAAACTCATCTGCATACGTCGAATTTCGTTACAAAATAACTCAAGGATGGGAGCAAATAAAATCACGTGTACCGTAAGGTATCAGTCGTTGACTTCCTATGTTTAAAGTCATTTAGACTGAGTATACATTTTAAAGGACGTTAAAAAAAGAAAACAAAAATTTATTTCAAGAATAATTTACTAAAATAACAAGAATAAAGATCAACAAGGCAAAGGCAACTAAGCCGGTTTAAAGCCGAAAATGTGGCTAAACCACACGCCAAATTTTACACAAAGTGACTATTTTCTTTCCATTGTTCAAACATTGTTCGGCGTAAAACGATAACACAATTAATGTTTATATCAGCTTAAAAAATATTTCCGTTTAATGCTGTAGAATTCAATTTTGTCCGCATATGGCGTTATGATACCCGTAATAGTTGCCAAGGAAACGCAACGACGTCATGTTCAAAAACGGGCTCTGGTGATCAGATTTGACGTCATGTGTACAAAAATTGGCTGAAACTTTTGAAATAAAATCAAAGAAATCTAACCTGACGTATGGTCAAATTTTTGCATGCCAATTTTCAAGACGTTACTCGAAAGCTCGCAAAGTGTCGCGTTTTCCTTAAATGACCATGCCAGTTCAATCATTGAATTTTGATTAGATTTAGTTATATTTGAAAGGATTAATACTTGGACAAAACCGAAAAAGTATGACGAGACAGATCTATTAAAATTTGAAATAAAAGGAAAATTTAATTTTCTCTTTAATTTTCTTTCTAAAGGTTTGTTTAAACTGTTAATTTGTTTGGTTTTAGAAAACGGTAAAACAAAGTCAAGCGTTGTCAGGCGATGTCTCTTGTTTAATTAAGGAGTTGCATTAAGTCCACCCGATTTGCTTTCATGTGTGTGCTATGTTTACAAATGATAACATATGTTTGCGTCATACTGCACTATATCAATTAAGTTTCTGGCTGTTGTGGCTTAAATAAAACTTTAGTGTGCGTTTTAATTACGAATCCACTAGGTTGCAATATGCAAAGGTTATGTTTCTATTGCCATATTGTAATTTATACATCAAATCGAGAAAAAAGTTTATTGCATTACACAACTGGCACTAATTGCTTTATGACTTTTGATACTGTCTGATCAACCTGAACTTTACCATCAAAACAAGCTGCGCAGCCGCATTATGAATACATTTTTTAAGAAAAAAATATTTGTTCCATCAACACCACAAAAAATAAATAATTTGAAATTGTCATGCATAATTTCTTTTCAGGGAGTCATTTCAAATATCATTCTTTTACATTCATTACTCCTTCTTGTGAGTATTTGTAAATTTTAAAATAGCGACTGAACGTGTCTAGACTGATCTTACAAGTAATAACTAAATTGAAATGGAAATTTCCAACAAAGCGGTCGAATATGGAGATTTATAAATGCATTTTCTTTATTAAGTACATTTATTTCATCAGGTCAAACGTATAACCATTATTCAAATAAGTTTTTGTTTTTTATTTAAATATCATGAATTAAACAAGATATTTTTTTTTAAGTGTTCTTATCTATAGCCATCGTTAAGCTGACTCGTATTTGACGATGACGCACATATGTACGTAACTATATCGTTTAGCCTAAATGATTATATCAAACTTGTAACTCTTATCTTAACAAATATAAACATACCATTGAGTAACATAATCAATTTATAGTCTACCTTCAAGTTAAATGATTATATATAAATTAAATGATTTAAGTACCGAAATATACTTTCCAGATTTTTTTTTTTTATTCTTTATTTTAATTTTATAACATTTAAAGTCAATCGTATTTGCCTTAGAGGACGACATTCACATTATGGCTTTTCGTTTTTAACGTTAGACGAATGAGCTATATGTTTAAAATGAATGAATATTAGAATGATAATTGAACAAAAATTTACAAAGAAAAAAGTTTCGGATAACAAAATGAAAATTGAATAATGTGTTAAAAGACTGTCATAGTTTTTTATCAAATGAATGCCACTGATAAATTACAGAGGGTATTTATAGAAATATTCTCAAGACACAGTTAATGACTTGGTTACCAAATTGAATATAAAGTTGAAAATAATAATGGCAAATTGTAAAGTTATTTAAACTTTTACCGTTCACAATTGGCAAAATGCCAGGATCTATTTGTATATTTTTGACAATGTAGGGAGAAATTTGAGAAATTGCCAACATATAAATCTATGTACTGTCCAAGTATTTTAATACATTGTCAAATATATTTTTATCAAAAAAGTATTTGTCTATATATTTAATCATTTTCAGGTGAAAACAGAATGAGTTGAAAATGCATTGACGGTTACACAAAACATAGTTCTTAAATACTACTTTGATACACGATGGCAGAAAATAAAGATAGTGACGTTAGAGAGGACGAAAAGAATTGTAAACTGACCTACTATTTTCGCGATCTACTAAAGAAGCGAATAAATTTTCAAATATCTAGAGAAGAGACATGTAGCATAATAAGTGCTGTAGAAACCCTAGTTTCGATCATTATAGGGTATGTGACATCAAATGTGCAGTGGCTTCCATTCTCAAGACTTCTAAGTGTGGGGAGTATGGCAGAAAGGACAAGTATTGTATTTCCAGACGAATTCGACTACCTTGTTATCCATAAAGCGACTGGAATGCAGGTCGAGAGAGTATGTAAGGAAGATAGAGGCTATGCCCATATTAAAGTCACAGATCCTGATTTAAAAGAGAAATGGTTCAAATGGCTCCGAGGGAATTACCTGCCTGGGAATTTTAAATCACACGGATCTACAAATTTGTTTTCGGATTATTTTGATACACTCAGCAATGCTTTCATGTACGAAGTTGCACAAAGAGCAAAAAACTTACCAGACAAAGGTGTTATTGTTACAGAAACAGGAGTGATGCGCGTGGCAAATTTCGTCAGAAAGAACGGACCGGCATTTACACAGCACTTTCTCTGGGAGCCTTATTGTCGTACGAAAAGTCAAACAACGATCAAAGTGGACATTACACCAGCCATTGAATTTGATTTCATTGACGATATAATTAATGAAAATGACACGTTCCATGCACATATTATCAACAAAATTGTCAAGCATGGTAAGTTCATGCTTGTTTGGAGTCCCGAAAATGGACCATCATGTCCACTTTGTTTCCGACTGACCTTTACAGAGACGGAAGTAGATCTTATCCGTTGTCTAGATACTCATCACAAAGACTGTTATAAACTATTAAAGTATATTTTCAATAGTGGCGGAGGTGTAAACTTCTTATCCTCGTACGTTTTTAAAACACTTGTACTAAAACATGGTTATCACTGTAAAGAAAGAGCAAACCTTGCAGTCTGTTTCAAACAGCTTGTTGCAGTATGCCTTCACTACCTATTCAACAGGACAACTGGGGAAAAAGTTGAAGTCAGTCGTTTGGTCCGCCTTTTAATGCGGGGTGAAAAATTCAAATTGCATATTCCTAGTATTTTTATCAAAGATCATAACATAATGGATAGCAAGGATTTTCCGATTCCATGTGAACATTTCCTACTCGGAATCGAGAGAATGCTCTTGTCGGTCGAAGAAATCTGTTGCGCTGACCATCCAAATGTTGACGATATCATTATTGTAAACAGTCTCATGACTGATGCTGTGTCTTATGTTAAGTCCTTGCCAATCGTAAACAAATATCTAGAACTCGAAAAATGTGTTTCAATATTTCAGAAATATTTCAAGCAAAATGTTGTAGAATAATAATTTTAATTTGAATTACATTAATACAATGAAAATAAGTTTAAGCTAAATACATAACGAAAAATACCTTGTGGTTAACAACCTACTTCGACTGTTCGGCAGCTTAAATACCATGATGTGAAACGAGTCTTTATAATAACGAGGCTATTATAATAAATGACAATGGTACATAATACTTATAGCTTTTACCTTTTTTATATGCCCGAAAATATATCGGCGAATAATATTATGCGCCTGGTCGTCCGTCCTTTCCCCCGTCTGTAAGTAGGTTCTGTGTCCGGTCTGTATCAATATAACCGGTGAAAGGAAACTGTAACTACTTGCCAGAAATATTCACCATAATGAGACAATATGCAGAGCGGAGCGCATGTTTGACGTGTCAAGGTCGCATTTTGAATTATTTGATAATTTCGTGTCCGCTTTGTATCTTTCGAACCAGAGTAAGGTAATAAAACTACTTGGCAGAAATGTTAACAATAATGAGACGATGTTAATTATCTCTAGGTCAACTTCAAGGAAACACGTTGACATGTCATTACCTAAAAGGTCAATGTCACACTTATAGGTGGAAGGTACGCATTCATATTCGGACTGTAACTATGTTTTGCATTTAAGGATATTATAAAATAATCTGGCACAAAATTAATGTTCTGTACATAAAATTATGTGCTGCGAAAAAAAAGGGTGTCTCTACCTCAAAAGTACAGATTACATTCGGAGTTTGTAGATAATGGAACCCTCTATATAAAGTATGTAGAAATCTTTATATATTCACACATTTGTCTACACTGTAACTTTCTTTTGCATTGAACAACTTTAAAATAACTTGTCATAAATTTCAAGCACATAAAATAGATAAATACAGAATCCCTAAAGAAAGTCCAACACAGCAAAATTGAAAATGTTGCAGGCTCGGTTTGATTGAGCCTGTTCATGGACGGTAATGAAAAGTGCAAGTTACCGTCCACGCCCCCTAGCACCGGCTTAAGCAGAATTCAACATTTAAACATGAAATAGTAAAATTTTGAATTTAGAATCATCCGCAGATGTGTTCATACGGCGGTTATCATGGAACCTTCAATGTGACACAGCAGTGCCATTCCATGAAAAGCGGCGTATGGTCCCCAAGTAATAAATAGCGTGTGCCCTAAACGAGAAAACAATTAGGTCGACATGTCGCGGCAAGACCCATTTCACTACCCAAAAGGTGAAATACACACTTTAGACTTTTTTAAGCAGAGAATGGTCACATATTAAATCATGTATATACCCATAGGAAATTTTATGCAACAACCTTTGTTATTAGAAGACAATTATGCATTTGGTTCCATATTAATAAACACACACCATTACTTAATCAGATTCTTTGCACTTTTATAATGGTTACGTATTCTTACTACCCATAAAAGGAAAGAGGGAGGAAGCATATGTGATTTTACAACAAGGATGTAGAACGTTGAATCGCCATTTGAACTTATGTCTTCGATATGCGTTATTATTTAAAAAAAGAACATTTAATTTTGTTGATTATAGATTACTCTTGCCCGAGTCCTTTTATTCAACTAACTAACATAAGTAATTGTATTCACAAATTTTTTAATTTTAAGCAATTAATAAGAGGATTTTTCAAACCACACAAAAGGATTGATTTCAATTATTTACATTGTCCTTGGATGTCATTAAATGCTAATTAACCGATTTAGGAAAATATTTATCTCGTGATGTGGATTCATACACTCGTCAAAAAAGTAGTAATTATATTATATAAAAATAAATCAATAAAACTTTCATAAGTATGAAGTAGGGGGAAGCATATGCCAAGCGAAATTCTCTGACATCTTAAGGCCTTTCAAATATTAGAGCTGATTTAAAGGTCATAAAATTGGTTGTTACGGAATAATTCTTACGATGAAACATCTTCTTTTAAGTATATGACAACAATGCATCAATAAATATAATTGCATCTGCACTATAATGAATTGATACGTAGCTTTGAAAATGTGATGTTTCTATAATTTTCTAAAATCATTTCAAATGTTTATTATAAAATGACTAAATGAAAACACACCAGTTTATTCAGTAAAATTTATCGTTACCTTTGCCGATAAAATAAAAGTTTGAATCAAGCCCTTTCAGATTAGTTACGAGTATGTATATTTGAAATAGACTATTATATTTAACTTGTCATATTAAAAGCAAACAATAAAAAAAAAAACAAAAACAAAATACAAAAACAAACATAAGATTCAAACTTCGTTAAAAATCCATGACGCTTTTACATTGTTAAATTGTTAGGAATAGAAACAACTGGTATCTCAGATAACAAATATAGCGATCAAACATATTAAAACGACAATGTTAAGGATCCTTACAAAACAGTGCACACACTTTTAGAAAATCTCAAATTAATCAATACCTGGCCCTTTCAACATTAAGATGTTTTGATGTGTCTACTTTTCACCATTGTTTTCCTATTTCTTCTTCTTTTACGTGATTGTTTTAGATTTAAATCGTTTCTGTGGCATAAATATATTTAGAATATCCAAAGCAATTATAGATGCCACAACGCTAGAAAGCAAAATAACGCCAAGAGTACCTGAAATGAAAATTACAGAATTATTGAATTGGTGTTGGTTCAAAACTGAATTCATTGAACGAGTTAACTAAAATAATATTATGCGATCCTCTAGCAAGAATCATATTGATTTATTCAAAGAATTCATTAAGATTAAATTTAATATATAGATTAAGTGTAACGCTGACATTTACACTATGTTTGTGTTACGCAAAAAACCTTACTTTAAAATATATTAACAAACGTTCAATACTGTTTAAACGGAGTCGCAAAAGCGAAACGGGTATATGATAAATTCCATTTCTGCACATTTAACTGATACCTAAGCAATTGTGAACTTTGACATTACATGTACAAATGATAAGAAATATTTTACGTATTAGTCATCTAGAATTTCGTAAGTACATGTCGGAGATATATGCAATGATGTTGAAGTGTGTGGTATATATGCCTTTTTTATTTTTTGGTTATGATTAAATCACCGTATTCTGTAAACTTCAGCATATACGTGATTAAAGAAAGTGTAGCAAAATATAATTAGTCCAATAGCAGAAACCTACCAACAGCAACCGGTGTCAGTCGGTCATCCTCAGCAGACGTCAACTTCTGGATGCTCGCAGAAGTGGAACCTGCGTCTATTGTTAAGTTCTGCTCTAGTTGCTGAACTATTTCTGCAGTTGTGAAATTTTCAAAGGCTCCAGTGCTGCACTGACACAGCATTATATAGATTGGCTCTGGTTTACATACGGGTGTCGTTGGATAAGCCCATAGACTAAATGTAGAGTTAGTTTGCAGGAGAATAATCCGGTTTAGTACGTCTTGAAAAATATATGTGACTTAATATATTTTCTACTGGTGGCAATTCAGTGGAACGTCTATGCGAAAAGCTGTCTACTATATGCATAGACGTTTACTTATTAAACAATTGTCATTTTCTTCTGAAGGAATTACAAAGACCCAGTCTTTATATTGATCGAGTTGCCTGTGTTATATGCCAAACAGGTCCCTATCAAAAGAAAAGAAATTAACTTAAGTATCGATTAGTCTTACTTTCAATGTAGTACTTCTTCATAAAACTAAAGCTAGTCACCCTAGTGAAGGCTTGATGGCAGTCACGTGTGTGATAATTACACATTGACTGATTGGGATCATATGTGACATCTATGTACTCCGCGTATCCAAGCAACGCTCATTGCAAAGTTTTGGATATAGTACAAAATACTCTATCATAGACGGAATTGAATCACAAACTCCAATATATCTGCCGATCATGTATATTTAATGTATAGGACAATCTGAAAAATAAATCATTACTGTTATATAGCGCTCTAAAGTTAAATAAAATTTGCCAATTGAATCACATGCTTACTAATTTTCACCTAATTACTTGTTTATTATGCTTCACATTAGTTCACATCAACAAAATGACAAATACATGTCAATAATAAAAGAAAATGTTTATTCACAGAGACGTTATTAATTAGAAGAATTTGGCAAAAGTACTAAAATATATATTTTTATTAACAGCATTGCTAACTGCTGTTGAATACTGAAAAATAAAATGTTATCGTTTCATCATCCGAGGAATAGACAAATTTGCACTTTTTCATTATCCCTCATATACAGCCCCCTTGCATATCGCTTCCGATTCGCACAACAATTTACAGGAGCTTGAGTTTGGAGTTGTCATCTTGTAGTAGGATGACTGACACAACGATCCTTGTTTACAATTCAAACAAGTCTGTGTCGTTGTAGACGGGCAGTCTAAACAATAAATCGAAAAAAAGGATAATGGATACTACATGTATATAATCAAGTAACTAAGTACTATAAAACGTTTTCGGATTTTTAGTCTTTGTTTCGATAATCTTCAAGTGCATGAGTAAACTTATAGGATCGTGAACGCTATTTGAGGTCTCGTTCCTTTGAATAAAATTTATAACTCAGTAAGTTATAAGAAAATAAGCTTAGTAAATTCTCAACCAAAATAAACTGTTCACTAGTGTTATGACTTCTAAACTCAGTGTAAAATGTTATGTGGGAGGAAGTATGGTTAAACAGAACTAAAACATCTCAGAAACTGAACGAGAATACATTTTATTTTAGAACTATCCTTTACATTGTATTCAAAAATGGCAAGAACAATCCTTTATTTTAAAATGGCCAATGAGATTGCCAGATTTCAATTTTTAATTTAAAATGACCAATAAATTTTTTTCTTATACTGAGTTCTTCCCTATAAGTTTTACAGGAAGTCAAGCTGAAAGAAAAAACACAAAGAATCCTTAAGTAAGAATTAGAATTGTAAAATCAATTATAATAGCGACACAACCTTCCCATAAAAGTGAAAAAGGAAAAAAGATAGCAGAGGTAATGCACATAGATGAAGCTTGGAGTATCTTGAACCCGATGTTGGCGGACATTCATTGCACCAAATGGCCTTTCCAGGAAATTCAATTGCTGGTGCATGAGCACACCCAGATTGAAAATTATTTTGTGCTGTTCCAGTAGACACATCCGGTTACTAGTATTGCATTGGGAATTAAACCTATATAAGTACTTACTGCTCGAAGCCTAATCGCTTC